TATATATATATATATATATATATATATATATATATATATATATATATTACTCCTAATTAACGAGAAATAATTTCTGTCTCTATCTCCTCTGGTTTCTTCCAGTATTATTTTTCTTATAAGTTATCAGGCAAATAATAATTAATGTGGTACAGGAAATCTGCTCATAATGTCTTATAGATCATGCATGCTGAATGTTGAAATTGCAAAGCATCGTCGAATTTAATACATTGGACGGTAGAAACGGAAGAGGCAATAACAAGGAACGGATTTCTCGACTACTTCCTTGCATCGAACGACGTAAACGACGCGAAACAACGTCGATTGTTACACGCGTCAACATTATATAGGCCACTCACATGTGAATATTGCAAGTCGCCCCGGCGAGGAGCATAATTTTCCCATTTAAACGCTGCTTTATCGGGAATGTTTTAATCGTTGCACGTGATACTGACGAGTAGGTGCCGTTTTTTTTTTTTTTTTTTTTTTTTTTTTTAACTAAACCCTCGTGTACACACGTCCCGTGATAAACGCTTCTAAATGAGCTAAGAGGAGAAAGGGGGAAAAAAAGAGGAAGGGAGTGTATTATTTAAAGGTGCGCGGTGAACTCCTCGGTACTGGTTCCATTTAATTGACGCATTTCCATGAAGCAGAAGTAGCAGGAAATTTGTTATCTGACCTGGCGTTATACACCGTGGAAATTGCACGAGGATTGTCATTTATCGAGGGAAATCCTCGATTGTTGAATATTTTAGACCGATCAATTAGTCACATTGGCGGGATAAATGAAAACAATTTCCAATTCTCTTTCAATTCTTTTCGATTTAATCCTCGATACGATAGATTTGACTCGCTACTGCACAGATGCGATTATGCCAAAATGTGTATAACATTCAAAATATAACATTTCTTGCGATATCGATAAGTTTCTATTTCGTATTTTTAACTCTCCTTGTAAAAATGTACTCGCAATGCATTTAGTCAATATTTAATTGTAATTATTACAATAGAATAAATAATTTCTATTCTCAATATTCTAAATCTCTCGATTTAATCATTATTATTTTCGAGCCATCAACTGCCCATTTTATTTGACTTTACACTACTAGCGTGTTAGCTTCACTTTTACGATAAAGTGATAAAGATCTCACGATTTTCATATGAGATGATAGTAAGTTATACTACGTGTTATTTGTGCATTTAATTAAAACTCGGAGAGATGCAAAATGTGCAAACAATACGCAGAAATGTATAAAATGGTGTAACATTTACACACGGTGTGGTATGTTTATTAGGTGAAACAATTTTCTATCGAAGTCTCGATTTTTTAAAATTATACTCACAAAGGAGATTAACAACTAAAATAATCTTCCAGTATGATCGTAAAAGTACGAATAAATATAGTGATGAACGTGATCGTAAGAATATGGATTTACATAAATATTCACGGTCTAATAACGAAACTCGTGATAATAAATGCCTTCTCTGGATTTGCATGCGATAATGAAGAGGAGTAGGGAAAAACATGAAATCAATCAAGCAAATACGAAGTACATTCATGAATGATTTTTATATAAATCATTGAACAGTGACATACACACAGTGTGTGTGTGCGCGCGTGTGTATACGTATCCCTCAGAAATAATACAACCCGCTACTATAATCAACGGCAATCTATACCAGTTCATAGTAATAAGCTGCTTTCTCATATTTATCATAGTTAGCACCCTAAGGGTGTGACCTAGCTGTTTGGAATTATCGTGGCTTTTTTTAACTGCGCAAGTTATGCAAACATCGCCCTATGGAAATTAATGCGATTTTTCATGCAAGTATGCACATACTGCAGACTTTTATGGTATACCGATGGTAATGAACTATACTACTTGAATATTTTTTTTTTTCATGTTTAACTACAAGCGCGTGTTGGCGTTTCAATTGTGTTCCTCGAAACGAGCATGATGATTCAACCTGAAAATGACGAATAATATGCGGCACGTTTAATACAACACCGTCATGCAACTGCAACTTCTTAGTCTTTGTAACTTCTTAGCTTGACGTAAGTTTCAATCATTGTCGTACAGTCACGTTAGTTTAGTTTCATGTAGTTTAAGAAAATGAGGATTGCCCTAAACAGTAAAATTAAAGATAGTTACTTTTAATGATTAATAAAAAATTTTAACACAAAATTACATGCTATTCTATTCAACATCACGTTAATTAAAATATATTATATTTTAACACACACATATCATTTAATTTAGAAGATTTACATTAATCCTTTATAATTTAAGAAAAAAAGATAATAAAAATAAAAAGAAAAGCATTCATTGTTACGTCATTATGCGAAATTTAAGTACAGAGAGACGAGTGCGATGCACGATAACGTTCGAAACACCCGAAATAAAATAGATTCAGGTTTCGTTCTTTTGGTCGAAGCTCCAGTCATTCGCAGAAATTTATTTATTGAAAAATAATTCTATTTAAAATTTAAATTCGCCAAAATATCCACCGGCTTATTGTAAATGCAGAAGCTAGGGTTTCGCAGTGTAATATAATTTCAGAACACAAGGATACCGGAATTAAAGCAAATTTGGTCATGGTATACAGGCATAAAACGAAACGACCAGAAAGATTTCCATTGAACGCGTTTTACAATGCTTAACCCTAATATCGGGGGTTATTATTAACGATAGAGCGTACCGGCTACGCTGGAACTACTGCCTATTATCTCAATCTACTCTTCCCTTCCTTTCTCTACGTCATCGATTAACTCGAAGTAAATTCCGCTTCAACTTAACGCGATTTTTATCAGGCATACCATTAAGGGGCTGAGCCTCGCTTAAATCGGCGAGGCTGAACAGACGACGTTATGCACGCAAATTTATGTCAAACAATTTTAAATCTACACGACGGGCGCAACTGGGGCAGAAGAAATGGATCTTCGCTTCATGACGCCTATCCTCGACGACTAAAAGGGGAAAATCTGGATTAAAATAAGACGCGACGAAGATTTATGAATAAATGAAACAAGCTGTACATTTCTAATCGAAAATATGGTCGGACACATTTTCCAAACTTTACGTTTCAATATTCAGGATATATTTATATTATTATAAAATTATATTTATATCATTATACATTTATATTATTATAAAATTGTATTAGGATATTAGGATACGGTTTTCAAATTTTAGGCTTCAATATTCAGCATTCAGTCAGTTTCATATTCAGGATACATTTATCAGTCAGCATTCAGTTTCAATATTCAGGATATATTTATACTATTATAAAATTATATTATGATATTAGGATATGGTTTTCAAATTTTAGGCTTCAATATTCAGCATGCAGTTAGTTTCATATTCAGGATATATTTATATTATTATAAAATTATATTAGGATATTAGGATACGGTTTTCAAATTTTAGCCTTTAATATTCAGCATTCAGTCAGTTTCATATTCAAGATATATTTATCAGTCAGCATTCAGTTTCAATATTA